CTAACACCACTAGCTTTGGAATCCTTTGAGCAAATCAAAAATGCTCTTTCTAGTGCACCCGTGCTGGCACAGCCAGATTTCACAAAAGAATTTATAGTGCAGTGTGATGCATCAAGAGTCGGTGTTGGTGGAGTGTTGTATCAATTTGATGAGGAAGGCAGGGAACGACCAATATCCTTCATTTCGCAAAAACTTAATCGTGCACAACGCAATTACACGGTTACAGAGTTAGAGTGTTTGGCCGCTGTGTTTTGCGTCAAAAAGTTCAGACCCTATATTGAAGGTCTGCCATTTAGGATCATCACTGACCACTCAAGCTTAAAATGGTTGATGTCCCAGAAGGACTTGAGTGGCAGGCTTGCAAGGTGGAGTTTAAAACTCCAGGGTTTTGATTTTAAAATGGAGCACCGTAAGGGCTCACTGAATGTTGTCCCAGACACCCTTTCGCGATTTGATGTCGATGAAATTAAAATTTGTTCTAGTTATCCCGAGATTCCTTTAACATCCAATGAATTTAAAAGTTCAGAGTACGAAGATTTGATCAAAACGGTTTCCGAAAATAAAGACAATCTTCCAGATTTGATTGTATCTAACAATCTTGTGTATAAGAGAGTTAAATTTCGACAAGGTGTGTCAGATGAAGAAGAAAGTCTTTGGAGGTTGTGGTTGCCTCAGTCTTTAACGGATAGAGCTATTAATTTGGCTCATAATTCTAATTGTCATGGCGGATATTTTAAAACCCTCTCGTGTTTAAGAGAAAAATACTTTTGGCCCTCAATGGTCAGAGACGTAAAAACATATGTTAGTAAGTGTGACGACTGCAAAATGATCAAAGCGCCAAACCAAATTCTTCGTCCACCTATGGGTGAAGCCTTCATAACTGTCCGTCCATTTCAACGTCTTTATTGCGACTTCCTTGGTCCGTATCCATGTTCTAAATCTAAAAACACTAGTGTATTTATCGTCATTGATCATTTTACGAAATTTCTTTTCCTAGTTCCTCTAACATCCGCTACTTCACTTAATGTCATAAATTTCCTTCAAAATTGTCTTTTCAATACCTTTGGTGTTCCTCAATATCTACATAGTGATAATGGGAAACAATTTGTTTCTAAAGACATGCAAGATTTTCTTAATCTCTATGGAATAACACATATTAAGACAGGGCTTTATTCGCCACAAGCAAACGCTTCTGAGCGTTCCAATAGAGAAGTTATTTCGAAAATTCGATACTATTTGAAAAATGAGTCTAATCACCTTAATTGGGACCAATGTATCCCCCGTATATTGAGCGTTTTGCGAAGTGATTATCAGACGTCGATTCAATGCTCCCCTTATTATGCCTTATTTGGCCAAAATATGTGTTTACATGGATCTACATATCCACTTTTGGATAAATTAAACATGCTAAACAATGATACCATCGTACAACGTGTTGACAAAATGAATCACCTAAGAGAACAGATTTCGCATAATTTGGAATTGGCACATCAAAAATCCACAAAAACCTATAACACCCGTTCGAAACAAATATCATACCGAATTGGTCAGGAGGTATTTAGAAAGAACCATATTCAGAGCAATTTTGGTAATGCCATTAATTCCAAATTTTGTCCTAAATATTTAAAATGCAGGATTCGCAATAAAATAGGAAATTCTCTCTATGAAGTAGAAGATAACCAGGGTAAATTTATAGGCCGTTTTCATGCTTCTGATTTACGTCCATAAGCAAAATATATGTTATCTTGCCCGGCTTTCGTGGGTCGAGCCACACGATTAAAGTCAAAATAGAAATTATAGAATCCTTTCTCCTGTTCTTCATTATATCGGAGATTTCATGACGAAGCAGGTTTGTTAGGGATTCTATACACTTTTGGTATAAATCGTGAACATTTTCATTTTCAAGTATTTATTTTTATAAACTAGTGATGGTATTGTTTTTTTTATGACAATATAGTAAAATTGTTCTACATTTTATTTACCTTAATAAGGAAAATTATTTTGTCAACTTAACAAAACTTTGTACGTATATTTACATCTCTTTTACTTAAACAAAATCGGAAAATTACATTGTTTACATCAGTTGTGTTTTGGTTTTTGTCTTTGCTAACCATATAACAGTTTAAGGGTTAATTGAAATTTAATACTGGTAATGCTGAATACTTCTGAATACCCGATGTAAAAGTAATTGTTCTGACATGTACTGACGCAAACACTCACATTATCGAGAAGTTTTCTTTTACTTTACACGAGATTAACTCGTTCTTTTACCATTTTGAACTTGCATCGTCCAGACGTGTCTTAATTAATATTCCAAACCAAAGATATAAGTAATTTTTAGTGTCCAAAAAATAATATCAGGTTATATAGTTTTATTCCAAAGATCAAACTAAGTTTCTTCCAACCATAATCTAAACCGAAGTATCAACCAAAATTATCCGAAGGTAATATTTTGTTACTGATTATTTCTGTGATTTAATTAACATTACAAATCCCGTATAGTGAAGTGATCTTAATCTAAAATTAAGGGACACACGTGGACACGTAGCTTATTAAGACTCCCAATGATATGGTCTTCACGATATATCTTTTAAAGTAATTGAAAATTTCGTGTATAAATTTAATTTAAATGAAAGGTAATATAAATTTTATATTATTAAAAAAAAAATTCTATTATCATACGCAAAAAATTACGTTTATACACAGCTTCAAAAGATCAAGATTATTCCTGACTCTAAAAAAACTATCACTGATAGATGAGTAGAAAGTGGAAGTATAATTTCCACCAGAACTGTGTTGTTGTTTACGCATTTAATAAACTGAGAATTGGACAAAACACGCATTATGACGTCATGAATGAATGGGTATATGCTTAGTCAACAATAAATATAAGAATACAGAGAAAACACACAAAGTCATAAAATCGAAATTTGGATAAAGGGTACCAAAATAATTTAACACTAACCGTACCAACTGAAACAATTCTCTACAACTAAATCTGTACTTCAACTCAATCACCAAACCAGAGTCTGAATTATACGAACATATTGAATTTCTTCCCAAATTCATAAGATCATCTATTTCCAGTAAAACTTATATAATACATATTTGAAATCCGCTTGTAGTACGTGCATATTAGATGTAACTTGATTACACTACATTTTAAAAGTAAAATTCCTTAATAACATTTGATATAAAACTCATATTTGAAATCATGCACATACAACAATACATGTATTTAGTTATAATTAGCTATAGTCAATAAGTAATGTAAATAAGTCTGGTATGGTATGTATAATTAAGTTAACCCGTATTTTTTATTATTAACTGTTATACTTCTTAATATTTACTTAGAAATATGCAACAAATTACTTTTCCCCAGCCCCAATAGTATAAAAACAACTGGATGCAGATGTTCGAGAGGCCTCTACGTCATCAAACCAGTAAAACTTCAAACATATATGATGTAAGTTGTAAGTCCCAACAACAACAAATTTTTAAACTTTGGTGAGTGATCAAAAGTAATTATTTATTTATTTTACATGTTTGCATATTTCTTCTTTATTATTAGTATAAACAAAAGCAACAACAAAACATAATTATTTTGTTTGAATTTATTTTTATTAACTTTTATTGATTCCTCACAGAGAGAACCTTTAATGATTTCTTTTGCTAAAATTATATTTTGTTTTTGCTTTTGATAAGACTATTCTAAATATTTCTTTAGGGAAAAATAACCCTTTAGGACATAGCTTAGTATATTTAAGATCTAGTTAAGATTAAAATTTACTTAATCTCAATGAAGTAATAATTTTTTTTCAATAATTTCCGTACAATTGTACTCATGTAACTTAAAGATTCTATTACATACATTTTTTTAATGGCATAATGTACTGTTTATATAAGTCAGTTTTTTTATGAATATTCAGATACATAATAGTTTCTACATATATATTTTTCCAATTTTGTTTAATATTTAATGAATAAAATTTCATCTACTATGAATTGCTAAAAGTCTATTTCAATTGAGGAATGATACTAACTAACATGAAGGCTACTTAACTTCGATACTCTCACCCAAAAGGGGTAATCTTAGTAAAATGAAAAGTGTGTAGGTTACCATAGGAGTACCATAGGTAATTTTGGGTGGGAAAAATGCACTTCGAGCGACCTAACATCTTGTCTCTCTTAAAGATTGGATTCATATTAAAATGTTGAATATTTGTAATGATTGCTCAATAATTTGTGGTATTTATTAAATGGCATGAGAAATTTTTCTATGTTTACACGTTATTGTAAAATTTGGTGCAAGAACCACACCACAGCCGACAGAGCTAGTCGATGGAACACCAGCATGCCGCCGACGCTAGATTTTACAAAGTTTAAAATCGTTGAAATGAATTTACGCGCAACAATTATAGAAAACTCAAAAAGTACCAGCTGAAGAACATTCATACAGATCTCCATGAACAGAACCCTGCGTGTTTAATTTTATGTTTCTGACCAATATTATTGAAAAGCTAAAAAAACACCCTTTGAAAAACTACAAAGTACCCAAAAAGTCCTCTTATATTAAAGAAAACATAAAAGGTATTCGTTGAAGAACGAAAAAGTACTAAAAGATCGCATTTAGATACTCACACACTGTGGACCCTTCATGTTCAATTTCATGTTTCTAGGTTCAATATTATAGAAAATTCAAAAAATACCATTTGAAGAACACTTTATCGTTCTATGTTGTATATTCTCATTAAACGTTTAATTAATACCAGTAAAAGATCGAAAAAGTAACCAAAAGTCTCATATTATAGTGTATAATGCCTTTAGGAAGGCCTCTTTACTGCCCCTTTTTCCCGCTGCGAACTGCTGGCTGCCATGTTACCGCCAACTGCTATTGAAAATAAATTAACTTTTGTCATCTCGTATTCATTTAATCCGGATTATCTACATGGCGTTGCTCTTGCGGAATGGGCTAATGGACTGTTAAAGTTGCATTTTTTGCTTTAAATGTGACATATGTAGATCTTCTTGATATTCTGTAAGTAATAATCATATGTATTTTCAAAAACCTTTTATTTGGGAAAATATACTTGAGATCAGGATGCACTAAGTTATTACATCATGCTAGAGATGTTTAGTTTTATTTTAAATGATTGTGTTAAATGTAAACATTAGAGGATAAATACTTGTTGACTTCCAAAATATTCCTTGTTATTTATCTACCTTTGGGGGTATAGTGATGGCTTTTTGTTATTGTTTTGAAAACGACTGCTAAAGTTGAAAAAACAAACTGGACAAATTATTCTGCCATGAAATAATCCATAATAGAAAAAAGTTGACGCCCATCGGTAGTGGCTAGTCGAAATTCGTATATTATCAAGCAAAGAGCCAAAATATGGTGATTGCTACTTTGTTGCTATGTTTGGTTCCGGTACTAACCATTGTGGGCTTTATGTCGACTATAGATCCCTTAGAGTTGTCATACTATATGAATCATTTAAATGAACCCTTCAAAGATTTATTGCGTCATAATATAAAAGAAGAAAAACAACGTTTATTTGAAGGTATTCCTTCCGATCACTTGATATTCTTACGTCTGTATCAAGAATGGAAAAATAACTTTAGAAATGAGGAATTGGTTTTTGATTTTAATATAATTTCATTTTGAATGGCCTGTTGGAACAGGACTGCAATATCCGTACTCAATTGGTTGGATCCTTAAGATCATCACAATTAATATATAGCAAAGTTGATCTTAGTATGCATTATATAAATCTCAAATCGAATTGTTCTGTCAATAAAGCCGCCCTTGTTGGTGGGATGTATCCTAATATATGCGTATTGGATTCTAAGGTTAATCGTATTAAATCGCCCTGCAGAAGAGAAATGGTTTTACATCCAAATTCTGTTTTGCGACATAGGATTTATGTGTTCGTTGAATTCTGGTTCACCGTGGATAGTGTACGGAAAAGAAAAAAATGGTTCCAGTTGTAATGGTGTCGAATGTAATACTGTTGTGACGCCCATTACTACAGTTGATTTGTTTGCAGGTGAGTTTAGTAGACTAAAAATAATATACGAGGAAAATTTTAATTAGTTAAACAACTATGTACGTAAAATTCATAATTATTCTGACTCACCTTTAATCTGTTAAAATATTTTTGTACAGGATGTAGGTATGAAACCAGCAGCTAACTATCCATTCTCCTTCTCTCAATCTATATATAAAAGGCTTGCGTGACTGATTGATTCATCATCGCCCAGCCCAAACCGTTAAAGCTAGAATCATGAAATTTTGGTTATAGGTTCATTTGGCATTGTATATATCCACTAAGAAGGGATTACGTTTAGGGGAAGAAATGGGTAAAAAAGGATAAAATTAGTATCCTTTATATCTTCTAAAGAAGCAAAGATATAAATAAAATTCCGAATGTATCCTCTATTATACAAAAAAATAATTGATAGGTGTCTGGTACTTTTTTTAAAAATCTAGACATTATAGAGCTAAAAGGGCAAAAACTGTCCCCATAGAACCTTCTCTTAACCTATTTATGTTCGAAACAAATGACCATGCAAATAAAACTTTAAATTTATCCTATTATAATTAAAGTCTATTAGAAATCCTTTCGGTACTTTTTAGAAATTCGGGTAATGAAGGGATGAAAACGGTGTCTAAAATTGGCTTGCTGCCCGGTACTTCGTTAGCGATAAATTTTTGGCATTAATTAAATTTTGAAAACAACACATTAAACGATTTTTTAATTAATATGGAATATACATATGTAAATAATTTTCACATATGTAATTACTGAAGTTTTGTATTCTCAAAATATCATACAATTTATTAAACTTATTTTTATCACTTCATATCACCTTTTTACTCTAATTTAAATAAATTCATTTTCATCGACATCCGAGATTTTGGATTAACAGGACAGAGCTACGTGCAACTTTGTGGCTTTGCCTCCGTAAAAAATACATACCTAAAACTAAAACGGCCCTAACTAAAAAAATTCAAAATCGACATTTTCATTTTCTGATGTATTACATCAAGCCAAATGTTCAAAAGGGCCCTATCTTCAAAAGTAGTTTTATATAAAGGCTAAAAGACGTAACTAATCATTTGTAAATACAAATTGTAAATTGTCAAAACAACTGAGAAATTTACCGTTAAAAAATGTCTTTTGAAGAAAAACAAATCGCGCTGATTGAAACTAAACTTTCCATTTTAAATAGTTTTTTGCTTATCCTGTAGAATTTAAAAAATGTTAAATAGGGATTTTTGCGTTTTATGTGACGATATATGTATAAAAACAAATTATATTGTTTCTATCATACAACTACTTTAGAAATCTCCAAAATTACGGGATGAGGAACGAAAAGGTAAAAATTATTCCCTTTGTGCAGATTTCCATTCAACTGGAACCGTACGTGTTTAATTTTATGTTTCTGACCAATATTATTGAAAAGCTAAAAAAACACCCTTTGAAGAACTACAAAGCACCCAAAAAGTCCTCTTATATTAAAGAAAACATAAAGGGTATTCGTTGAAGAACGAAAAAGTACTACAAGATCGCATTTAGATACTCACACACTGTGGACCCTTCATGTTCAATTTATTAAACTTATTTTTATCACTTCATATCACCTTTTTACTCTAATTTAAATAAATTCATTTTCATCAACATCCGAGATTTTGGATTAACAGGACAGAGCTACGTGCAACTTTGTGTCTTTGCCTCCGTAAAAAATACATACCTAAAACTAAAACGGCCCTAACTAAAAAAAATTCAAAATCGAAAATTTTCGTGGGGGGGCCTTAGGATAAACCTTTCGGGAGGGGAAAAATTAGGCTGTTTCCCAACTCCCTCATAAAATTATCGGTCTTATACCTTTTTTTTTAAAGATCCATCAAACGGACACTTTTCCATTAAGAATTGGACGGCTTTGATGCTCTTTAAAATTGATTTTTTTTGGAAGCATCCAGCAGGCACTTTGCCGTTAAGTATTGGCCGGCTGATATGCTATTTTAGTAGTAGTGTGAGGCATCTGAAGCGAGCACTTTGCCGTTAAGAATTGGCCGGCTCCAGTGCTCAACAAATGCATATAGGGAGGGGCTTTTATTACCAATGGAGTCACCACTTCCAGCCCAAGTCCCGGTGTTTATATTTTTAATAGTATTTTTTTTTTTTGGTTTCATTGTTTTGTGTTAGTATGTTAGTTTACCTGAAAAGAAAATTGAAATATATTAATAAGATGAAAATAAAGAAGTAGAACGATACAGTTTTAAATTACCCGAATTATGCCATCAATTTTTTTGGAATATCTGAAAATAAAGAAAAGAATTTCTGAAAATAAGGAAAAGAATATTATACTTACATGTGGATACCAGCTGCTAATCAATGAATGTAAATAACATGTGAGTGTATGTGTGTCAAAGATGTGTTTCAGAATCATATACTGACGTAAAAGTGGCAACACCAACAATCAGCACAATAAGGCGGGGTTGTATTTTCATTCAAAAATAAGATTTTAAAATTGGCGCTAGTTTTTTTTATATTTAAAAAATGAAATTGAATGAATCTTCCTAAAAATTATGATTGCCTGTTATATTGGGTGTTAAACCTTAGGAAAAATATGCTGATTGACCCATGAAAAAGAAAATTGAAATTGGTGGATAAGAATTTAAGCAAATCCCGCGAAAATATGATTGTAATGTGGCGATAGAATATATAAATAATAAATAAATAAAATATTTAGCAGGAGAAATATTAAGATTGGAGGGAAAATTTTGATATATGTATATAGTTTTTTTTGTGTAGTCGAAATAAGCGCCAGAAAATAGATGAAAAATAAAAAAAGATACAATAATATATAACGAAAAACCGCGAATTGAGTAAATAGGGGATAGGTATTTAAGCCACCAACAGAAGAGAAGTTCATTTAATTATAAGAGTGAGACGTTAAAAGACAGAGTGAATATTGTTAAATAAAATACAAACTGTGTGGAAAAAAAAATAAAAATAAAGTAGAAAATTTGACTAGTGAAAAAGAAAATCTTATAACTATTGAAACATAACGTAGGTTATCAGAAAGTTTAAAATTTTTATGTAGTGTAGTATAATAATGATCAATTATTAATATAACAACACTTAACAAAAGCCAATTTCGTGACAAATTTGAACTTGAAATAATAATTTTAAGTGAATTAATAATTGATTACTTGTTATACCAATCAAGTTTTCAAATAATAAAATGAGGTAAAAACTTTCTACCCTTGCTGGCTATTTTTTTGGAAAGTTATACGGATATATGTATGGAAGAAGTTATCCCAAACCACACAGTGATGAATAGCCAGGTAAAATTGTAGTTAAAATATTAAAAGAAAGTCTTATGAAAATCAGATAGTAAATGCCAAATAAGGAGAATATTTAAGTCGCAGCCTATATGTATAAGGTGGCAAATAATTGTAGCAGTGGCTACAATGATGAATACAACCTTATCTACGTGAGAATAATAGTAAAAAAATAAGTGAGCGTCAGCAAAAGCCAGAATTTCTTATTTTATTTTATAAATATAATTGGTTTATTATCCAAAAATCTTTTAACATTACGTCTCGAAATCTTAACCATGCCAATAAGTGTTTCAGTTCAAAAACGCTGCTACTAAAAGAAAAAAAAAAAAAAAAACAAAGGAAACTGAACAATTAAAATTTAAACATACAAAAAAAAAATGAAATGTATATATTTAAGTTAGTTTAAGATTGTGTTATGTGAGTTTATTGTACGAATTTCGTGAATGTGTAGTAAGATATATTTGTTAGTTATTTAAGGCATTATTTCCTCCAGCGATAAGTCATAAAAGAAAAAAAAAAAAAATAACAAACATAGAAGTATAGGATATAAAGAGAAGTTAAATATATATATATCTTTCAGCAGTATTAAAATATGATAAATTAAAGTTCAAAAACAAAAAAAATATATTTATTTTTAAAAGAGCTTAAGCGAGGCGTGTTAAAAGGCAAAACAAAAAAAAAAGGACCCGAAATATTGACGGGAAGAATAGTGAAATAACCTCAGGGAGCTCCTTTAGGCGAAAGTGAAATAGAAGTGGTATTAGATAGTGTCTAACGAAAGAAATAAAAAAAAAGATAAATAAATAAATATATACATACAATGAAATAAAGAAAAAAAAAATTGCTAAAAACGAAAGAAAATATAAAAGATAAAGATATATATATTTATTAAACCTATGCATGTTTCTTCATTCAACCAATAATAAAAGTAACGGATAAATAATTTGAATTTATAAAATTGAAATAGAATAAGTGAAAATTAATATTAGTAACTATTATAGTAGTGTTATTTTTATACCCTCCACCACCATCAGTGGTGATAGAGGGTATATATAACTTTGTCATTCCGTGTGTAACACCAAGAAATATTCATCTGAGACCCAACAAAGTATATATATTCTGGGTCCTTATGAAATTCTGAGTCGATTTAGCTATGTCCGTCTGTCCGTCTGTCTGTGTAAAACACGCTCACGTTAAAACGAAATAATATAATTTAACCAAATTCACCCAAAATATTCACTTTTATCCGGTACAGTTTGGTATTGAAAATGAGCAAAATCGATTCACATCGGGAAAAGTTATGAATCAAAATTTAAAACAACCTCGAAAAAATAAGCATTTTTTACACATTCTAATGTAATTTTCTCCAAAACTATGCAAGATAATTCCATGAAAATCACCATACATTCGTTTCTACACAAGATCTTGATCCGTGCAGAAAATTGCCAGAATCGGTCCACAATTTCATATACCTCCCATACAAAAGTACATATTCCCGGAAAATGGGTTTTTCGTTAATAACTTCCATCACAATGTCGATATCTTCACAAAATTTTACAAATTAAAATCTTATGTCAATAGAATTCTTTCAGAGAAAAATTTTTGGGTCGGTCCATAATTGGACATAGCTCCCATACAAGGTCCCCTTCCGAAAATCACTTAAACGCGCATAACTCATTACTAAATTAAGATATCCATATAAAATTTGGTATAAGTATTGCCCATATGCATAGAAATATTACTGTGAAAGTTTTTTCCGATCGGTCCATAATTGGTCATAGCTCCCATACAAGGTCCCCTCCCGAAAATCACATAAACGCGCATAACTCATTACTAAATTAAGATATCCATATAAAATTTGGTATAAGTATTGCCCATATGCACAGAAATATTACTGTGAAATTTTTTTCCGATCGGTCCATAATTGGTCATAGCTCCCATACAAGATCCCCTCCCGAAAATCACTTAAACGCTCATAACTCATTACTAACTATAAAGTTTGGAAGAAGTATTGCTCATATACAGAGAAATATTACTGTGAAATTGTTTTCCTATCGGTCCATAATTGATCATAGCTGCTATACAAGGTGCCTTTCAGAAAACACTTAAAGGCACATAACTCATTAGGAAATAGTGATAACTCATTACTAAATTAAGATATCCATATAAAATTTGGTATAAGTATTGCCCATATGCATAGAAATATTACTGTGAAAGTTTTTTCCGATCGGTCCATAATTGGTCATAGCTCCCATACAAGGTCCCATCCCGAAAATTACTTAAACGCGCATAAATCATTACTTAATTAAGATATCCATATAAAATTTGGTATAAGAATTGCCCACATGCATAGAAATATTACTGTGAAAATTTTTTTGGATCGGTTCAAAATTGGTCATAGCACCCATACAAGGTCCCCTCCCGAAAATCACTTAAACGCGCATAACTGATTACTAAATTAAGATATCCATACAAAATTTGGTATAAGTATTGCCCATATGCATAGAAATATTACTGTGAAAGTTTTTTCCAATCGGTCCATAATTGGTCATAGCTCCCATACAAGGTCCCCTCCCGAAAATCACTTAAACGCGCATAAATCATTACTTAATTAAGATATCCATATAAAATTTGGTACAAGTATTGCACATATGCGCGGAAATATTACTGTGAAATTTTTTTCCGATCGGTCCATAATTGGTCATAGCTCCCATACAAGGTCCCCTCCCGAAAATCAATTAAACGCTCATAACTCATTACTAACTATAAAGTTTGGCAGAAGTATTGCTCATATACAGAGAAATATTACTGTGAAATTGTTTTCCTATCGGTCCATAATTGATCATAGCTGCTATACAAGGTGCCTTTCAGAAAACACTTAAAGGCACATAACTCATTAGGAAATAGTGATACCCATAAAATATTTGGCATTGATACTATTTTTGTACACATAAAAGTTTATTTAAAAACCTTGGTCATAGCTCCCATTCAAGGTTTCCTCCCGAAAATCACTTAAACGCACATAATTCATTACCCAATATTGATATCATACATTTAGCAAAATTATTGCTCTTATATACATAAATTACACTATAAAATTGTTTTACGATCGGTCCATATTTGGTCATAGCTCTCATACTAGGTCCACTCCAGAAAATCACTTAAATGCACAATATTCATTACCAAATAATGATATAGATACAGAATTTTGAAATTTTGTTTTTATATATAATTCGTCATAGCTCTCATACAAGGTCCTTTTACGAAAATCTCTTAAACGCACATTACTCATTACCAAATAAAGCTATTGATTTGCCACAAATATTAGTTTTGTATACAAAAATTCTATTTCAAGATTTCTCACGATCGGCTCATAACATGGGTGCGGTCGGTCCCATACAAGGTTCCCTTCCGAAAATCACTTAAACACACATTACTTATTACTAAATTACGATATAGATATAAAATTTTACTGAAATATAGCTTTTATGTACAGAATTTAGCTTAAAGAATTTTTTACGATCGGACTGTAATTGGTCATATCTAGGTCCTGCCCCTGAAAGCACTTTAACCGTATTTAACTAGTTGCATTATCAATTTGTGTAGATTATATATATGTATTTTGAAAATCCTTTAATTTTCACACACATGCATACATGCAAATTACTAAATATCGCTAAGCGCTATAAAAATATAAAGAAAATTGCGTTTGTAATGTTCAATAAATCATGGAATTGTAATAGATTTAAGGTGTTTAAATCTTGGGATTTTTCTATTTAAGACATGAGAAAACTTATTTCTACAAATATTTCATCAATTAGAAAAGTATTAATATAAAAGTAGCTGGTGGAGGGTATTTAAGATTCGGCTCAGCCGAATTTAGCACTCTAACTTGTTATATTTAATAAAGTATGTTATGAATATAGTCAAAAGTTAAGACTCACTATGTTGGCTTAAATTATAGGTAGTTTGGCAATGTTGAACAGGTAAGTGGAAGAGTTCGGTCGTGTGGATTTAGGGTCGTAGGAAGATGTATTCGGGGATTCTACGACAA